AGGGTGGACATTTGATTTAGTTCATTTAATGATCTGTGAGCAGAGGTTTCAAATTAATTAACCCTCTGAACCCCACGTAGGGTTAGTATGGCTTGTTATTATTATTACTATTATTATTATTATTATTATTATTATCATCTCCAATGATGCCGTTTATCAGCCAGAAAACCGTAAAAACTGAAAAAAACGTCGTCGCTTTTGTTTTTAATTTATTTATGTAATTTTTTTATGTTGCTTTTAAAACAAAGGAAATATGCACAGAAAATTATTTCCTTTGCTTTAAAAGGGACAAAAAATAAATTGAAAAATGAAAATGAAAAATGAAAATGAAAAAATGCTTAAAAAAAAATATTTTTTTTTTTTTTTTAAATAATAGAAAAAAATTAAAAACATTATTGTAAAAAATGCATCACAAAATGAAAAGAATAATCCAAAATAACTTATTATTATTTTATGTGTCTTTATATTTCTACTTTTATCAGCCTTTTCTTTTATGGATTCATTTTTGATTAATATCACTTTATATTGCCACATTATTTATTTTTATTTTATTTATTCTTCTTTTTATTTCCACTTTTATTTTATTATTTTATTAATTTTTTTCTGTAATTTGGCCTCTCACTGCTTCGTAGTTTCTGATTTTCCTGCATGTCAGCAGTGAAACATCATAAAAGTAAAAATAAAGCATTAAATCAAAAATATTAAAAAAGGAAAATGAGCAAAAGAATAAAACCAGGAAGAATAAAGAGGTTTTCAAATACATTCACAAACCGACAAAACCCTGATGTTTTGGTGGATCTGACCTGATAACTGATCGTTAATCAGGTCAGATATCGATCAGAGCTGCTCTTCTGTTCCAGACGCTGTAACATGATTATTTTCAAAAAAGACAGAAACTGAAGGAAATGTGATGAATTCTTAACGTGAAGCTTCAGATGCCAGCAGAGACAAAACAGTCACGGCTTTTATTATAGTCACACCGTAAAATTACCGGTTATAGTTTGATTCATCATTATTATTATTATTATTATTATTACTGATTTTGTGATAAATTTTCGCCGAAAAAATGCCCAGAAACAGTTTTTTAACTCAAATATTGCCAATTAATCACCAAATAAAACAAACAAGCAGCTGATCAATCTGACATTTGAAGGCGTCATTTTAAGAAGTCAACATTAACAATAATCAATACTGAAATCCAGGAGAGACACAAGTTAATCAATCAATCTGATCGACAGCTCTGATCGTCGATAGCCGAAGTCACTGATCTGCAGTCCGGATTCTAACAAACAACAACCACCAACCTCCGGACGCCTCTCGGAGTCAAACGGTCCGTCAAAGCGATCAGCGATCGATAATCAATGAGAGCAACGTCGCGCTGGATGCGGACAGACGCAGAGATGCAGCAGCTCGTGATGCCTCCGCTGCTGCAGCACGAGACGAAGAAAAAAACGGCTCTTCTTCTGTGGTGGAAAAAAAAACACGCAAAAAAAAAAACACGCAGAGCCGAAACACGCACACACACCAGCTACACACACACACACACACACACACACACACCGTCAGCTGTGTGTCCGACTGACCGACTCTCTCTCTCTGAACGTCGCTCGACCTCGATCTGCCTCCGACTGACTGAGCTGCAGCAAAACACGAGTCCTGCAACCGCTGCAGCGCAAACACACACCGACACACACCGACACACACACACACAGACACACACACACACACACACACACACACACACACACACAGGCTGCAGGGAAACACACACACACACCGACACACACACACAGGCCGGGGGGGAAATAAAAGCAGAGACCCGCTCAGTGTCCTCACAGCATCTGTAAACACACAGACACACACACACACGCGTTTCTCTCAGCTTGCGAGGACCGTCTCTGCTGCTCAGGGATTAGAAATCAATGATCGATAATCAGACTGCTGTGTGTTGTCGTCCTCGGTCCACCACAGCTCAGAGCATTATTATTATTCCCGTTTAATTTGCGGCTGCTTCCTAATTTAGCAGCTAGCGTTAGCATGGCACTAGCCGCTGCGGAAGCAGCTGATGCTCCGCTTGTGCAGAGACCAGTCTGTCAGGTGAAGCTAATGTGACTTGAGAAAGGCGTTCAGATGTCCAGCTAGCGTTAGCCGCAGGCTACGAAGCACAGCTAGCCTCTCAGCAGCACTCACAGCCACTGTCAGCACAGTAACTTCCTGTTAGCACCACTTGCTAACAGCTACAGGTGAACAATGGGCGAACACTTGTGAAAGATGAAGATGCTGATTGAATCTTTAGCAGCTACTTCCAACAAACAAACAAACAAACAAACAAACAAACAGCTCTGTTGATTCACTGGAGCTTTTCATGTAACAGCCAATCAGAAGGCGCTGTGGGCAGGACAGTGCAGAGAGAGAGAGGGAGAGCTGCTGGATCAGAACCAACTGAAATCATCCATAAATATTGTTATTGACTGAATATGAATCTTCTCTGTGTTCAGGACCAACAGGTCTGTCATCTGCAGCACCAGCAAAACGTAAAGTGAAGCGAACAACAAGTCAGGACCAAACATAAAAACAGATTTGTGAGCTTTCTGCATCACAAACTAAATGTATGCAGTAGGACAACCACAGTTCTGCTCATGGAGCTGCACAGCATCTGTTACCATGGTGATGGAGCTGCACAGCATCTGTTACCATGGTGATGGAGCTGCAC